GGCCTCGAACTTACAGAGATCCTCCTGCCTCTGCCTCCCGGGTGCTAGGATTAAAGGTGTGTGCCACTGGCTGGGTGGGGGGCTTTGGAGAGATGGCTCAGTGGTTAAAAGCACTGATTGCTCTTCCAGAGGTCTCAGGTTCAATTGCGGAGTGTTGATGGCGCATGCCTTTAATCCCAGCACTCGGGAGGCAGAGGCAAGAGGATCTCTGTGAGTTCGAAGCCAGCCTGGTCTACAGAGCGAGATCCAGTCCAGGACAGGCTTCAAAGCAATACAAAGAAACCCTTTCTCGAAAAACCAAAAAAGGTGTATGTCACCACTGCCTGGTACTTGTTTCATAATTTTAATTACACTTACTTGTGTGGGTGGAGTCCCACACAAAGTTTTGTGGAGGTCAGAGGACAACTTGTGGGAGTCAGTTCTCCCTGGGACCCAAGGAATGAACTTAGCAGCAATCGCCTTTTCTTGCTGAGCCATCTTGTCAGCCCCTTTCCGTATTTCAGCCTCTGGGAAGAATTCAGTCGGGAGCTGTGGGTGGGACCAGCTGTTGTCCACTGAGAACACAGGTACTTCCAGTACAGACCCAACAGAGGCACCAAGAACCAGGCCCGTTCATCTTCCTCCACTGAGGCCCACAGGAAACAGCTGTTCACCTGGGCGAGGTGCTTGGCCCAGTGTGCAGCCAGTTGGAGTTTGCTTCCCTCAGCCATGTCCAACCTCCCCAGGAAGCAGGGCTGGCGTGGGAGAGGGGCAGGAAGTTGGGTTGCCAGTTGTTTGTGAGAAAACTGAGAATCAGCCCCTGTTGTGTACAGCCACAGGCGCAGCCAGAGCACACGGCGTTTTCGCTTTCCCGAGTGCCTGGCCAGTCACTGGGGGAGATGTGCCGTGCCCCCTCAGTGAAACACTTGCCCTAGTCCCCTACGATTCACAGAGGCCATCTCCCCATTCCTGAGCAGGGCTAGAGACCAGCAGGTGGACCACTCAGATGTGTAACTGTACCTGTTTCCTCAGGGCCATCAGGAGCTGGGGGGCTTATGCAGAACCCTAGTGCTCAGGCGAGGGCTACAGGATCAGGCAGCCTCACGGCCCTGTGGGTCTTGGGACACACATTACATCGGTAACCAGTTTCCCACCATTGAAAGAAGCTTCCCAGTGGCTAGCATATTTGATGTGTGTGTGTGTGTGTGTGTGTGTGTGTGTATTATTTATTTATTTAATTTTATGTGCATTGGCATCAGAGCCCCTGGAACTGGAGTTACAGACAGTTGTGAGCTGCCATGTGGGTGCCGGGAATTGAACCTGGGTCCTCTGGATGAGCAGTTGGTGCTCTTAACCACTGAGCCATCTCTCCAGTCTCATATCTGTGGTTTCTAGCTAGGCTTTCCCAGGGCTCTCAGAAGAGTGAGCCAGGTAGCTATCCTGCAGTTCACGGTCAGGGGCTTCTTCAGGGAGGACTGTCCACAGTAGGTTCTGCCTGTTTCAGAGTCTCAGTCACAGGGTCCCCATAGTCCTTCAGCCCCACCGCCTGAACCTTCTGGGTGTCTGGGTACTCTGTGGGGGCTCTCTTAGAACATGTCCCCTCCTGCATGGTGACAGCTGGTGGCTTTGCTTCTCCAGCTTCAACTGCAGAAGTCCCAGTACCTGCAGCTGGGCCCCAGCCGCGGCCAGTACTATGGTGGGTCCCTGCCCAATGTGAACCAGATTGGAAGTGGCAGCATGGATTTCTCCTTCCAGGTGAGCCTCCTGTACTCTGGGTGCTTCCCCTCTGCCAGGTGACACTCCACGCCTTTCTGTCTCAACTTGTCCCATTCTGGACCCCCTTCAGCCACAGACTTCAGGGACAGCTGGGTGACCCACAGGCTGAGCCGTTTTCCAACTGCTTCTCTTATATCCCAGGGCCTGGAGGAGGTGGGATGGCCTAGCCGGGTTCCCTGAGCTCCACAGACTCCTGGAATCAACCCCCACCCCCACCCCGCTGCTCACAGTACTCAGCAGCTGCTGCACCTGCCAGCAGGATTTGAGACTTCGGAAGAGCTCTGGGCCTTGGGGGCTTGGCTCCAGCAGCCTCACTGCTCTGCAGTTCTCAGAAGGAAGCCCCTGCCGCCTGACCCCACTTGTCTGCAGACGGTTCTTGGCAGAGCCGCACACCCGACATGGCTCCCTCAGGCCACGGGCCGCTGTCAAAATAATGTAGATAAGGGCTAGCTCTTCTCCCCAGACCCCAGTGTTCAGGAGAAGTGCGAGGAGGAGGCCGGTGCAGACAGGGCCCTCCAGCCATCAAACACAGTGCTACCAGGGTCTGGGAACAACCACGTCCCCAAGAGCTGGCAGGCTCCACAGTCATGACCGATAGTGCGGCCACTGGGGTAGGCAGCCTGTACCTGGCTATGCTCAGGGCTGCTAGCTCCATTCTGGGGGACCTCAGCCTGTGGAGTTCCAGGGCTTGGCATACTGAAGTCACTGGCTTTCTGGGGCAGGTGACCTCCATTTTCTCTTCCTTCCAGCTCTTCCTCCCTCCACTCAAGCACCTTCACTTAACCCTGCTTGGTCACCACAGTGCACTTCTCAGTCCGAGGGCACAAAGGACCCTACTGGGCCCACATTTGCCGGAGGTACACATGCTCACTGGACAGTTCAGGGTGTTGGTTCTTTGCATTTTCCGTGCAGTGGATGTTGGGGGCTACCCCTGGACACAGCTTAGTGTCTCTGGTAACGGTGCCCCAGGCTGAGGCAGTCCTTGCCCAGCAGCAGCCCGTAATACCTTGACACGTATGTGGGCATTGGGTATACCACACACTGTGGCTCTCCAGGAGGTGCCCCTTCCATCTACCTACCTGAAGCAAATCTGCTCAGTGCCCCCATCTTGGGAAGTGTGTATGGGTGCCGCTCAAAGCCCCCCAGGACTCTTGGGGTCCTTCTTGGGTAGATGCCATGTGCACATGCCCTGACCTGGGGTCTGTTGCAGCAGAGTCCAAGCATGTGTCCTAAGCTGCATGGTCTAAGCCCCAAAGCATGCACATTCCCAAGTGCTGCATCCCAAATAGGGCTGGAGAGCTGGGAGGAGCCTGGGGAAGTGGGTGGGGTCTAGGGGACTAGTGGCCTGTGCAGGATGGGTCTTGGATACTGTTGGGGCAGAGAGCTGGGAGGGGCCTGATGTGTGGGGGCATTTCTGGCCTAGAGAGATGGATGGCAGCTGCCTCAGTTTCCCTTGGGCTTATAGATGTCTCAAAGAGATGACTGGTCCCTTCTTTCCCCAGGCCCTGGTGGTGAGGTTCATAGTCATCTTTGGGGCTCACTCCCTTTCCATGGGGAAAGGTATAGAAAAGTCCTATACCAGCAAGCTCTTTTTCTGGGTAACAGAGAGATTTGGCAGTGGCCACTCAGCCAGCCCTGAAGGCAGACACACAGAAAGAAGTGGGCAGTCCATTCCAGCCACCACCAGCAGGAATCCTGCTTGAATATCAGAATGGCTTTTATTTTCTGCCTGGGGACAGAAAGACCCAGGGCCCAGGGAGCCAGGCAGTCATGGGCACAAGACATGTCCTGGGCTGGCACAGGCAGCTGAGTTCACCCTAACATGGTGACAGGCTTCTGGCAGCCTTGGGGACTCTGAGGCTTGCCTGGAGCCTTGTGCCAGCCCAGGTGTGGGTAAGCATCCCCAGCCAGCCAGGCCACAGCCCCGGAAGGCGCCTGTACTTGGCTCCCTGTGGTGCCTGGCTGAGATGCTGGGGGTGGGAGCAGGAGAGGGGGGCCCACGGCTCAATCCAGAGCAGTTCTGGGCTCTGCCTCAATCCTCTTGGGAGCAAGTGCTAGGCCAGGTGGGCCCCGCAGCAGCTCTGGGCTTGAAGCCCTGGGGGCCTCTCTTGGCAGGACCCTCCAGAGATGACGTAGGTGGGGACAGGAGGCCGGCCAGGCCTGGGAGAGAGGGTGGAGGCCTGTCTGCACCTGGCCAGCTGGGGAGAGCTACCCCTGGCACCCAGGCAAAGCTTGTACCGCCCAGTCTGGCCTGAACATGCAGGCTGCACTACATGCTTCCTGCCCTTCCTGGGACATCACTGCCAGCGTTGCCCCAGCCTCATGGTTCAGCTAGAGCTTGGGCTGCCAGAGAAGCCTGTGGAGTAGAGTTTGAGTGCACAGCTAGGGGAACTTCAGGCCTCAGCCAGTGACCTGGGTTTGGGTCTCCCCTCCCCTTTCTTAATCCCCATTCCTGACCCATCCTTCTCTCCAGACACCATTTCAGTCCTCAGGCCTGGACACGAGTCGGACCACACGGCATCATGGGCTTGTGGACAGAGTATATCGTGAGAGGGGTAGACTTGGCTCCCCGCACCGCCGGCCCCTGTCAGTTGACAAGCATGGGCGACAGATATCCTTTTTGCAGAGGCTGTATGTGGGATTGGGAGGGAACAGGGGAACAGACACACAAATTGGGGAAATCTGGGGGTCGGCCTGGAGATAAGCAGTGCACTGGAGTCAGAGGTGGGGTCAGTGGGACCAGGAGAAGAGTTAAGAAGAGTGACTCCAAACTACAGAAGACGGGGCCACAAGGAGAGATCAGCAGTGCTGTCTTCAGGGGCTACAGGAAGTGGAAGGTCTCTGGTTAAGGCTGCAGACAGAGCCAAGCCCAGATGGACACAAGAGTGACTCCACACATACAGTCGGCCTCTGTTACTAAGGGTGGACACCTGCCAGGGTCCTCTTCCTAACTTGGCTGCCTCAGTGAGAGCCCCATCCCAGAGTGGCTTTAGGTTACTCTTGCCCCTGCTCCCAACTCTGCAAGATGGAGCTGTCTGCCTGTTCCCTGCTTCTTGCTTCTGAGCCTTTGGTGCTGGGAGCCGCCTCAGTTGAAGAGGTCAGTTGAATTTGGCCTCCCTGAGGCATCTGGGCCCCAGTGTGAAGCCTAAGCTCCTCTTGGAATGGTTTGGAGGGTGGTGCTGAATTGTAGGTGAAGGGTTCTAGCCCTCCTGGGAGCCCCTGCACCAGCAGCTGCTTCCAGACAGGCAGGAAACACCCCTTGCCCTCCTGGCCAGCTGTCTGCAGGCCACTCCCAGCAGCTCCCAGCAGCCTGGGCCCACAGCCTGAACATCAGGGTTCGTGTGCTGTGACCACAGCTTGTGGGCACAGGAGGGATCAGAACCCACTTCGAGGTTCCCTTAACCCGTACACGCTGACAGCTGCCCCTACAGCACCGTGTACCTCTCGCCACCTGCGGACACCAGCTGGAGGAGGTCAGTGCCAGGGCCACCTGACTCCTGGAGGAAGCGGTGTAGACATTTGTTATAGTTGTGTGTGGATGCAGGGCACAGACACTGGAAACTGTCCATGTGAGCCAGATGCTTCCAAAGGGCTCCAGATACCAACTCTCTGCATGAGAGCATGGCTTCAGGAGCCTTCAAAGCCCCACTTCTCTCCCAGCTCCTCCTCCTCTCCTCCTCCTGCTCCTTCTCCTTCCTCCTCTGGCTCCTCCTGTTTTTCCCTCCTCTTCCAGCTCTTCCTCCTCCTCCTTTCTTCTCTCTCTCTCTTCTATATTTCTTTTTGTTTGCTTTTTGAGACAGGGTTTCTCTGTGTAGCCCTGGCTGTCCTGGAACTCACTCTGTAGACCAGGCTGGCCTTGAACTCACAGAGATCCACCTGCCTCTGCCTCCCGAGTGCTGGGATTAAAGGCGTGCGCCACCACTGCATGGCTTATATTACTTATTTGTTTTCAGAATTGAATAGTCAGTAGTGTATCTTGCTTGTTTTGTTTTTATTTTGTTCTCTTAATGAGAAAGCCTCTCACTCTGTAGCCCAGAGTGCCTACAAATTACCAGGCTAACAAGGTCCTCCGCCTCCTGAGTGGCAGCAACAGAGTGCACCACCAAGCCTAGCAGTTTCCTCCATGAAAGGCGTGCCACGCCTGAGGACCCTGCTTCTATCGCCAGCACCACAAAAGGAAGCTGTGGGAATTGCTGCTTATTGGTATTTGCTGGATGTGGTGGTCCCCATCTGTCATCCCAGCATGTGGGGGCAGATGCAGGCAGATCTCTGTGAGCCCCAGGCCATTCAGGACTGCAAAGTGAGACCCTGTCTTAGAACAAGGGACTGCAGACAAAGCTCAGCCACCAAAGGACCCGGGGTTTGAGTCCCAGCACCACGTGCTGGCTCCCAGGAACCTGTAACTCCAGCTCCAGGGGATCTGGTCTCCAAAGGAACTACATGCACACACATTCACATAAAATAAATCTTGGGCACAAAAGCAACAAAATAACTGCACACGGTATGAGCATCAAATGCAGTGCCCTGTCACCTGGATCGCTGGCATCTCGGGAGGATGTGAAGGTTCTGTGCCAAGGCTGCACTATTGTATCAGAGGGCTGCTGCTGAGATCTGAATTACATGGCTCAGAGCCCTGTAGATTTCGGTTCACAGATAGTGGTGATACTTAGTAGCATACCCTAAGGGAGGGTATTGGGGACTTAGGCCAACTCTAGATTTCCTGTGTAGCTGGGAATGAACTTTAACCCTGCCCTCTAGCCTTAGCCACTGAAGTAGCAGGCCTGTGTCCCAACAAGCCCCTTATGTGGTGCCTCCTGAATACCGGGAGAGCACTCGGCCACTGAGTTGTGACCCAGGTCCTTTTCTGTTTTGTTTAGAGGCAGAGTCTCTCTCTGTAGCTCTGGCTGTCCTGGAACTCGCTCTGTAGACCAGACTGGCCTCAAACTCACAGAGATCCTCCTGCCTCAGCCTCCCAAGTGCTAGGACTAAAGGTGTGCGTTACCATACCTGGCTTTGTGGGGGGAGAGCACAGGTGCCAAGGAGGTCACAGGTCAGTTTGAGCAGCTCTCTTCTACCACGTGGGTCCTAGGGCTAACACTTAGGTCATCAGACTTGGCAGCAAGCACTCTTACCTTTTGCGCTCTCTTGCTGGCCCGATTTTTTTCAAACATAGTTTCTCACTGTGCTCCTCAGGCAGGCCTCACACTTCTGTGTGTGAGCAACCTTTCTGTCTTCACTGGGGCCATCCCTGGCTAACACTCTCTTAAAACAAACCAGGCTGGGATGGGGCTATGGAGTGCTTAGTGTTCAGTTGGTTGAATGCTCACTTAGCATGCATAAAGTCTGGATTCCATCTCAGCTCCATATAAAACTGCTGTGGAGAGACGGTAGCTAAGAACTTGGGCTGTTCTTCCAAAGGACCCAGGTCAGTTCCCAGCCTCCACATGGTGCCTCACAGCTGTCTGTAACTCCAGTTCCTGGGGATCTATCTGATGCCCTTTTCTGTCCTCCATGAACAGCAGGCTTGCACATGGTGCACAGGCAGAATACCTGTACACAAAAAATAAATCCAGCTGGGCGGTGGTGGTGCACACCTTTAATCCCAGCACTTGGGATGCAGAAGTAGGTAGATCTCTGTGAGTTCAAGGCCAGCCCGGACTACAGAGAAAATTCCAGGACAGGCTCCAAAGCTACCAAGAAACCTTGTCTCAAAAAACAAAACAAATATATAATATTACAATTTTAAAATGTCACAATTCTTTAAAAAGAAAAACAAACTGGGCATGGAAAGCTGGGTGGCAACTCACAAGGCCCTGAGTTCAAATCCTGTAACTCACATGGATTCAAACAGAGTAACACACATCTGAAATCCTAACATACTTAAAGAGATAGGCTGGGCAGCCTGGGGTATACAGGAGGGTCCTAAGGAGGCCAGACTAAAAAGACCCCTTGTCACAGAAGGCTGGCCCCACATGCCTGCCATACCATGTGATCATAGCACTCTGAAGGGAGACGCAGGAGGATCAAAGGCTCCACGGCAGCTATACAGTGAGTTTGAGGCTAGCCTGGGCTTCATCTCATAGAAACAGTCCTAGGCTGTAGTTGTTTTCATGTCCATTCTACCCATAATAAAATTGAGCCCAGAGATGTCCAGGCAGACCTATGACCACACAGCTGGTAGAATGACCCACACCGGCTGCCTGTGGGGCGGGTCCTGGACCCTTGTAGGGACTAAGGCTGTATCTAACATGGATAGATCAAGGCTGAGCCTGAGTGTCACCATCTCTCTATCCCCAGGACCAACTCTGACTCTGCCCTGCACCAGAGCACAATGACACCCACCCAGGCAGAATCCTTCTCAGGCGGGTCCCAGGACGCACACCAGAAGAGAGGTATGCCAGGCACCCAAACAACCGGCCTCAGGTGGCCCCCATGTCCCATGAGGTCACCAGACCGTAGTGGACTAATACTTAGAGGAAGAATCAGAGCAGGACAGATGGTGTTAGGGAATCTTGCTCAGGTGCGACTACTGGAGCTAGGTGTTGAAGAATGCATCGGTGTTTTGTAGGAACCATACCTGGGCAGTGAGTGCTGGCTGTATTCTGGGCCTGTGTATGTGTGTGTATTTCTGCTCTCAGTGCTGGCTCCTGGCTCCAGCCACCGTCTCGGCTTCTCTGTGCAATGCAGCCAGCTGACAGCCCTTGTGCAGGGCTCTCTTGTTGACACTAGGCTCTCCGTCACCGAGTCAGTAAAACCCCTAAGCTTGCTGTTAGGGCAGTGTAGTCCTCGTGGCCCTGAGGTGACTCTGCTGTGTGGTCACATATCCCTGACCTTTCTCTTCCCCCAGTGTTACTGCTTGCTGTCCCAGGCATGGAGGACACCAGGTCCGAGACAGACAAAACCCTTTCTAAGCAGTCATGGGACTCAAAGAAGGTAAGAACTGCTGGATGGGCCAACGTTTTTTCAAACCCAGCCTGGAAACAAATGGCTAGGTGGCACGTTGAGGTGGCTCCACCATCGCCAAGGTGGGACTCTTTTTTGGCTTGACCAGCACCCAAGTTTTGACATCAACAGCAGGCCTGTCAAACTGCCTAGAAACAGCTCAAGGATTTAACATCTTATGGCTGGTCACAGTGGTGAAAAGGACAGACACTTATCCCAGCTGGGACCCAGCATTTGGTGCCCAGGCCCAGGCAGGAGCCGTAGAACAAGCAAGGCCTTTCTTCAGAATACAGAGCAAAAGCAGGACTGGTGAGGGCTCTGCAGGCAAAGGTGCTGGCCACCAAGCCTGGTGACCTAGTTCCATCCCCAGGAGCCACATGAGAGAAGGAGAGGACCAACTCTCTCAAGTTGTCCTCTGACCTCCATACGCCTGTAATGGCCGAAGCATGCCAAGACCCTTCACAAGCACACACACACAAATAATAAATGTTAAAAAAAAAGAAAAGAAAGGCACAGACAGAGAGGTATCTCCATGGTTCTTGCAGAGGACTCAGGGCTGGTTCCCAGTACCCAGAAGGATCAGTGCCCTCTTCTGACTTCATGAGCACCAAGCACATGTTCATACATGCAAGCAAAATACGCATTAAGAAAGCCACCACCGCCCAGCATTCTTTTTCTTTCAAAGTAAAAGGATGACTGGGGTGTGGCTCAGGGGTAGTATGTTTGCCTAGCATGTATGGATTACATTCCCAACACTGAAGAAAGAAATAATTTGGCTGGGTGTAGTGTTACACACTTTTAATCCCAGCAAGGTAGCAGAGGCAGGTGGATTTTGAGTCCAGATAGGTCTACATAGAGAGTTTCAGGACAGCCAGGGCTACACAGAGAAACCTTGTCTCAAACCAAAACCTAAATAAACAAAAAGAAAAAAATTTCTGACCATCCAAACAACTGTAAACTCTTGTAGGCTCAGTTCAGAAGCAGGGTGGGTGTGGCCTGTCACACAGCTGATCTCACCTCATCTCAGCACTCTGAGGCTGAGACAGGAGTTTGCAACCAGCCTAGGCTACATGAGTTTGCCAAAATAAAAATATAGAAACAGAATGAATGTATGTTCAGAGACCTCGGGTGCTTTGCATGCAGCTAAGAAAGTGAGCATGCAGCTAAGAAAGCCGTTAGGGTTTCTGAGTCCATAGAGCACTTGTCTTTCTTTTTCTTAATTACATTTTTAAAATGTATGTGAGTATGTATGTGTGTGTGTGTTCACAAGCATGTACTTGTATGTGTGTGCCCTGGTATGCGTGTGGAGGAAAGAGGACAACTTTAGGAGTTGGGTCTCTCCTGCCATGTGGGTCCTGGGAATCGAACTCAAACCATCAGCCTGTGGTGGCAAGCTCTTTTACTGCTTGAGCCATATTGCTGGCCCAGAAACCATTTCCAAATCTTCCCCAGCCAGAGGCCCATAAAATAGCCAATCTGTGGCCTGCCTGCCCTGCATCCTCTGGTCTGCGCTCTAGCCTGCAGCGCTGGCTCCCAGAGGACCAGGACCTCACATCCCACAGGCAGCCAGGAGTCCCCATTGCTGCACCTAGAGCTCAGCTTGGGGCTTTGGCAAAGACCCTGGCTGTGCCCACACAGAAGAGCAGCTCCAGGATCCAGGAGAGTGTGAGAAGTCCCCTCCCCATAGACCTGCTATAGCTCCTGGTTCTGCCCTGGGCTCCTCCAAGCCACGCCTGCACCGCATGGTTGCTGACCCTGGGCAGGGGAAGGCAAGAGCGGAAGGGCTCACACATGGGCAGCCGTGCCTGCCACCGCCATCTGCTCTGTTCTCTTTCAGACGGGTTCCAGACCCAAGTCCTGCGAGGTTCCTGGAATCAAGTAAGTCTGGCCCCCACACCCTTCTGTTACCAGGACTTTTCCATCTCCAAGCCTGTACCTTCTGGCAGGGGAGAAAGTGAGCATGCCACCAGTCACTTGATGCCCCCTGTCCCTGTGGACAGCCAGGGGTGCTGTCAAATTCACAGCTCACTGAGGGATGGTCTTTTGTAACCACTGACCCTGTCAGTTCTTTCCTGTCCCACTGCAGTTGTCCTGGGTGGCACGGCTGGCCAGCTAGTCACTGTCCCAGACCTCACATCCTGTCCTCATCTGCCTCCCCAGCATCTTCCCATCTGCAGAGCAGGAGAGCACGGCAGCCCTGATCCCCGCTACCCACAACACAGGGGGTTCCCTCCCTGACCTCACCAACACCCATTTTCCCTCCCCACTCCCGACGCCGCTGGACCCCGAGGAGCCCGCCTTCCCCGCTCTCACCAGCTCCAGCAGCACTGGCAGCCTGGCCCATCTTGGCGTCAGCAGCACTGGTCAGGGTAAGACCCCATGCTGCCCGTACCCCACGGCAGCATGCACTGAAGTGAGGGGTTCATGGGACTGTGTCTGGTGTGGCACAACTGTCCCCAGAGCCCCGTAGGGCACAGCCAGTAGCAAGGTGATCATTGCCTTCAGGAACCAAGAAGTGGCTTTAGGGCTGTGCCGTCCAGTGCCCAGCTTCAGGGAAGGGCTGGGAGCCAGCAGGGAACCCTAACCCTTTGACTTTGTTTGCCAGTGACATGTGGACTTGGTCCTACCAAGCTCACCTTTTTTTTCTTTTTAGTATTTTATGTGTGTGTTTTGCCCACATGTATGACTGTACACATGTATGACTGTACACTGTATGTGCACAGTACTTTCTGAGGACAGAAGAGGGCGCTGCTTCCTTGGATCTGGAGTCACAGGTGTTTGTGAGCCACCATGTGCATGCTGGGAGCTGAACCTGGCTCCTCCAGCAGCCCGGGCTCTAACCACTGGGGAATCCATTGCTCAAGGCCACCCTCACCTTTGGAAAGTTTTTTTTCTCCCCTTGGCTGTTCCATGCCCCAGCTTCTCCTTGCCCATCCCCTGGCTCCCAGTTTGACACAACACTGCTTCTCCTGGCTACTGTGAGTGCGTCCTACTAATTAAAGGCATGACCTCTCAGCCCTGCCATGAGGCTGAACTTGCTCTGCTCCTTCTCCTGCCCCTTGTCCCTACCCCACTCCATGGAAGCTGAGCCTATATCCCCTCTTCTGACTCTCTCCCAGCCCTGACCTCATGGATGCTCCTGTTCACTCCAGAGTCTTTGCACAAGCTGCCTGGGTATGGCAACTCCCTCTTCTGGTCACTCGCTCACTCACACTGCCCCAGCTAGCACCTTCTGTTCCTCTATAGCCTCCTCAGTGTGGCCCAGTGAGCCCCAAGCTGTCAGTGCTGTGGGTTACAACATGGTTAGGGAAGGTAGTGGGGTGCAGGGCGGGTCGGGGTGCGCAGGTCTGTGTGGAGCCTCTCTACAGACCTGGGGTAGGGCTGCTAAAAAGCACTGACTCCTGAGGCAGGATTGATGGGTGAGTTGAGACCAGGGACCTCCATGCTTGTCATTGATATCAGCACATCAGGGAATGGCAGGAGGGATGGTGCCAGTGAGCCTGGGTGTTTTTATTTCCTGAGATTGAGAAGGAGGGTCTTGTGTCTGCTCCATAGATGCTAAAGACGGAACTGTGCCAGCCAGCACTTTACCACTAAGCCATGCATACCACCTCCCTGGCCCCTTTCCTAGGCTTTAGGTGAACAGATGGGGCCAGAACTCGCAAGTGGGCCTGGTCTGAGGACATGCAGGCTGTTTTCATAGCCTGGTCACGTGCCTGTCAGTGTCCAGCATCGAGGCCCAAGGTACAGGGAGGGTCCAGGTGTTGAGAAGCAGGGGCCTTCCTTGGCCCTGCACAGAGGCTGCCACACCCAAACCTTTGTCTTCTCTCCTCTGCCTCCTGCTCCAGGGCTCCCCACCAGCTACTGCAATTACAATGTAAACAAGCACAGGAAAACAGTTTATGTGACATTGCTGTTGGGCCACTGTGATGGCCGACCCTACCCTAGTAATATGTGCGGTGTGTGGTTATGAGCCAACCACTCCCCTAAACAGGGACTTCATTTTATTGGTACCTTTTTGATCAAGACACAGACAATCCCCACCTCCGCACCACACAGCCTGATTGAGGGGGGAGCTAGGGGAACATGGCCCCTCCCCCACCCTGTCTGATGGCCAGTGCACAGGCTGACCCAGTGTCCCCTGTCTGATGGCCAGTGCACAGGCTTCCCCAGTGTCCACTGCTGGCTATACTTTAGAGGCCTGCAGGGCTTCCATGCCGGAGCCAGGCCACTGCCACCTGGACAGCCCTCCCTGCCCTGCCCTCCCCTGCCCAGACTTCCCCTCCAGCTGGCTCCACTCCATAGGTGATCCAGGCCAACAGGGTGCTCATGTGGTTTGCCTGCCCATCTGGCCTCTCTGGGTGTGGTGGTGCTTAGGCAAGGATTAAAAATGCCTTTGTGTTTATGATCAGAAGGGCAGGGGCTAAACACACCAGCTGGCAGTGTGATTCCTGCAGCCCACAATGTATGTGTGTGTGTGTGTGTGTGTGTGTGTGTGTGTGTGTGTGTGTGTGCGCGCGCGCGCGCGCGCGTGCACAAACATGCCTGGTGCCTGCTGAAGCTAGAAGAGGGTTTTGGGTCCTTAACAAGAGCAGCAAGTATTCTTTTGGGGTGGGGGGAATCAAGACAGGGTTTCTCTGTAACTTTGGAGCCTGTCCTGGAACTCACTCTATAGACCAGGCTGTCCTGGAACCCACCTGCCTCTGCTGGGATTAAAAGAGTGCCCACCAAAGCAAGCGTCCTTATCCACGGAGACATCTCCAGCCCCACCTCACTCCCACTTATTTTGTTGTTTTGTTTTTGGAGACAGGGTTTCATGTCGCCCATGCTGAACTAGAGCTTGCTATGTAGTCAGATGTGACCTCCTGCCTCCATCTCCCAAGGGTGAGGTGTCAGGGACTGAAACAGAACGGTGTATGTTCTAGGCATGCACTCTACCAGCTGAGGTCCAATCTCTTACCAGTCAAGTCCCAGCCTTCCACATCTACTTATTTGTTTAAATTATCTTTAGATTCATTTTATGTGTGTGAGTATTTTGCCTGTATACATGTCTGTGTACCATGTATGTGCCTGGTGTTCTAGGAGGTCAGAAGAGGCTGTAGGATCCCTGAGACTAGAGTTACAGAGAGTTATGAGCCCATGTGGGTGCTGGGAACTGAACCTAGGTCCTCTACAAGAGCAGCCAGTGCTTTTAAGCATTGAGCCTTCATCTCTGCAGTCCCTGCATCTACTTCTTACAGTGGCTGGGGGTCCTCACTGGCTCTGCATGTGCTCTGGATCTGAGCAGCAGGTGGCTCTCAGCCCTGACAGATACAAGAGGGGCTGTCACTCAGAGGCAAAGCAGCAGCCCAGAGTCCTGGCCCTAAGGGAGCTGAGTGCCGCCTCCTAGACAGTGCTCCAGCTCTGCCACTGAAGCAGAGGAGCCATCCCCACCCACCCCAGTGCTGGGTAGGAGCAGAGCCCACCAGGATCTGAGGGGAAGTGCAGGCTGCCCCACAAGAGCCTGGCCCCGGGCACGAAGGCTTTTTGCCCTTTCATCTCCCCTGGGCATGCTGGGTGTGTTCCCATCCACCCAGCTTCAGAGAAAGGTGGATCAGGAGTCAGAGCAGGCCGGCCCCGGATCTCCTGGTGACGCAGGCACTCTCACCTGGCCCTGATGGTGCCAAGTCCTTCCTATGCTTACACCGCTGGGACCTCGCCTTGACTGCCTAAGGGTGATGTTAACATCTGCTGGCCCCTGATGAGGAAGGAGTCTGCTGTGAACATGGGGCAGGTGTCAAGTGCAGGCCCTCAGGGTTCCCCTGTCATCAAAGAGGCCTGTTGCCTGCTTGGCTTGGTGCCCAGGATGAGGCAGCAGGCCGCCACTCTGCCCTTAGTGCCTCCACATTCAGGGATCAGAGCCCTCAAGGCAGGAAGGGATAAGGGAAGGGGCAGGAGGCCTGCAGAGCCCCTGGCAGGTGCGGGCGTGTCACCCCGGGGGCAGGACTGGGGCAGTGGGAAGAAACCTGGTTTCAGTTCAGGCAGCCTTGGTAGGGGGGGAGCTCATCACCCTGAAGGTGCCAAAGAAGGGTGTGGATGCAGGTCACTAGGGCGTTAAGTGCGCCTTAGCGGGAACGAGCATGTTTAGGGAGGGCCCTCAGGATGGAGTTGCCTGAGTCAAGCCGGAAAGGGAGATGGGCTATGCTGACATAGCCCTGGGAGACGGCAAGAAGATTGCTCTGAGACTAAAGCCAGCCTGGGCCGCCTATTGAGTCCCAGGACAGCCCTGTGTTGAGCAGTAGTAACAGCATGGGAGCTTGAAGCCCATTTGGTGCAGTGCTTACAGAGTGTTGACTTGCCATGCACAAAGCTGGGCAAGCTAACTTATTCCTTCCGTCCCGGCACCCAGAGGCAGGAGGCTTGGAATTCAAGGTTGTTCTCACTACTCAGCCATCTTGAGACCAGCCTGAGCTACATAAAACCCTACCTCAAAAGAATAAGTTAAAATATAAACAGGAGCCAGGCGGTGGCAGCACATGCCTTTAATCCCAGCGCCTGAGAGACAGAGGCAGAGGCAGGCCTCAACCTGGTCTACAGAGTAAATTCCAGGGTAGCCAAGGATATACACAGAGAAATCCTGTTTTGAAAAACAAAACATACATACATACATACATACATATATGGGCTGGAGAGTTGGCTCAGTGATTAAGATCAGTTGCTGGTCTTTTTTTTTTTTGGTTTTTTGAGACAGGGTTTTTCTGTGTAGCCTTGGAGCCTATCCTGGCACTGGCTCTGGAGACCAGCCTAGCTTCGAACTCACAGAGATCCGCCTGCCTCTGCCTCCAGAGTGCTGGGATTAAATGTGTGTGCCACCAACGCCCGGCTAGCAGTTGCTGTTCTTACAGAGGACCCAGATTTAGTTCCCAGTACCTACATGGTGGCTCACAGCCATCCATAACTCCAGTTACAGGGGATCTAATGGCCTCTTTTGTCCTCCAGTCATTGAGCACGCACACGGTACACAGACATGCATTTGGACAAAACACACACATTAATAAACCTTAATAAATAAATATAGATATTCATCAATAGGGAAGGATATTATCTTCTATCGTGATGGCTGGGTAGGGGTACATGCCCACTCTCCCTGTCACCAGAGGGTTCCTAGCCTTCTATGGCTGACAACTCCCCTCTACCAGTGATGGGCAGCCCTTCCAGGAATGATGGCCAAGACCCCAAGATGGCTCCAGTTCGTTACATGCTGATTGGCAGGGCTGTAGGACACAGCTCTCTTCGGCTACTGAAGTCAAGAAGAAATCAGGCTGCTGGGCTGGAGACCCAGGGAGACCACTAATGGGACGTCCCTCCTCAGAGCCCCGTGGATTTGACCACATGCCGCACCCACTGGCTTCTCTCTGAGCAGCTGGGCTGTGCCCATGTGGGCGCCTCTCCTTAACCCCCTTCTTCCTTTACAGGTATGAACACTCCCAGCTCTTCTCCACAGCACCGGCCAGCAGTCATCAGCCCCCTGTCCCTGAGCTCAGAGACCAGGCGGCAGCAGACTCAGCAGGTGTCACCCACCCTGTCCCCATTGTCACCCATCACTCAGGTGAGGTGGGTGGGGAAGACAGGAATCCACCAGCCCCTCTTTTCCCCCTGGCCTGTAGGATCTGGATCTTGGTCCTGTTTGTACCAGTTTTATTTGTTTATTTTGTGTGTGTGTGTCTGTGTGTGTGTATGTGTGTCTCTGTGTGTGTGTTTGAGTGAGTTCATGTATACCATGCAAATCCAGGTTCCCTTGGAGACCAGAGGTGATTGTGAACCGCCGTGTAGGTGTGACAACTAAACCCAGGTCCTCTGTAAGAGCAGCTGTCATTCTAAGCTCCTAAGCCAACTTTCCAGCCCTGTTTGTGCTATTTTTCAAGAAAATTTCAGACAAATACTACACAAATCAATGGGTTGGTTGGTTGGTTGGTTTTGGCTTTTTGAGACAAGGTCTTTGTGTAGCCCTGGCTGTCCTGGAACTCACTCTGTAGACCAGGCTGACCTTGAATTCAGAGATCCCCTGCCTCTGCCTCCTGAGTACGGGGATTAAAGGCGTGTGTCACCACTGCCCCACTGTGCCACTACCCCCAGGCACAACTCAGTGTTTGCATGGTACTTATTTTGGAGTGTTTTTGTTTGTTATTAAGCCAAGGTTCATGCCCCACTAAGGAGCCGACAGTTACCTTGACCTCACGACTCTCCTGTGTGGCCACTACCCGATACATTAGTGAACTTGGAGTAGTTTAGGGGCATCAGCAGGCATCAAGGTGACTAGGCAGAAACAGTAGCTCAGGCTGACTGAATCTAGAATGCCTCAGCCTCCCAAGTGCTGGGTGACAGGTCTGCACCCCCCTGCCCAGGGTCTGTCTCTGTTTACTTTTTATGCTCTGTTAGAAAATTTTGTTATTTCCTGCCTGGGTAAGGTCCACCCTCACTGAATATAGCCTCCATACTCTAGGGAGAACAGGCTGTGGGGATCAGACCCACAGTTCCTCCCTTGCCGCTTCCGCTACCAAGGCCCACTGCCTCATCCTCATCCTTGTCCTCTGCTGCAGGCCGTGGCCATGGACGCCCTGTCCCTGGAACAACAGCTGCCCTACGCCTTCTTCACCCAGGCTGGCTCCCAGCAGCCTCCCCCACAGCCCCAGCCACCGCCTCCACCTCCGCCTGTATCCCAACAGCAGCCACCACCCCCACAGGTGTCTGTGGGCCTCCCCCAGGGTGGCCCACTGCTGCCCAGTGCTAGCTTGACGCGGGGGCCCCAGCTGCCACCGCTCTCAGTCACTGTACCGTCCACTCTCCCCCAGTCTCCTGCAGAGAACTCCGGCCAGCCGCCAATGGGGATTGACACCACCTCGGTAAGCCTGAGAGGGGGTCCCTGGGCACTTGGTGGGGCTCACAGCTTGCACTGTTAAGCTGAGGCAGTTACAAGTGTATAGCTGGAGAAACAGAAGCACAAACAGGGTCACTAGTCCCAGACTCCACTCAAGATCACTCACAGCTGCCCTCTTGCCGAAGGGTCTAGGTTGCATGGTAAGGCTTGGAGGGGAGAGACTCTTGGGGTCCAGATTCAGGTTGAAGAGAGAGGTGCTGGACTGCACCCCTTTAGTCCTGACCTCTATGCCTTGCTGAGTATGGGGGTGACAGGTCCCATCCCTGTCCAACCACACGGCAGGGCCCATTTGGGAACACTGTGAGCTTTCCCCATTTTTCCATTTCAGCCCAGGCTGCTGACATGAATGTGGTGATCAGGTGTCCCAGCAACTAGGAGGCCATGCTGCCAAGTGGCTGTGAGCCTCAGAGGGAACCTGCCAGGGGGACCCAGATGGAAGTACCCAGGCAAGGACAGGGGTGGCACTGTTCTCCAGCTATATGAAGAGAATCAGCAGAGCCTGGCCCCATCCCAGGGACTGCTGGCCTCCAAGGACAGTGGACCTGGGCGGCCTTACAGCTCACGTGGATTCTCCATAGTCATCATTCCTTGCCTCACAATGGGACCTTGCTGGTCCCTCCTTCACCATATCCTCCCCATACCAAATCTGGAGTTGACTTCACCGCAGCCTGCTGACATAGGCCTCAGCAAGAGCGAGAGACCAGGAAAACTGTGTGGATGTATGCAGCCCCTGAGCTGCAGGGTGGTCAGAGTTCAGGCCCTACCCCTGCATAGCCTGGCTCAGAGGATGCTGGGCCCTGCTAATGCCTTGAGCAGGCAAGGAGGTAGTCGTTCCTCAGGTGTCAGAGGGTGTGACCTCGGCAGGCTGGTTCCTGTGGGCTGTGTGTCATGTGCTCGCCACAGTCTTTGTGTAGCCTGGTGTGTTGCACAGCAGGCCTGCTAGGATGTGTGGCTAAGGGTGATAGGGTCAAAAGCCCATCCCCAGCCTGCGGAGCTGGTGTTCCTGCCCAGTGTACAGGGTTGGGGTTTGAATGGACATATACATGTATGAATTCCAGCATACCTGCAGGCTGCATATAACAAGTGTGTAATGTGTGTGTACATGTGTCTAGGTGTGCAGGCATTGTATCAATGCATGATGAGCCGTGGGTACTTGTGAAGATGGCTGTGTCCGTGGATGTGCACACATATGTGTGTGTTCATGTAAGTGGTTCATGGTATGGTGTATGCAGCTGTGTTTGTGGGTGGAGTGTTTGTGTGGGAGTGTGGATGTAGGTGGGTAGTGTGTGCAAGTGTGTTTGTGGGTGTTCATGTGTGTTCATGAGTGGGATGTATATATTCACAAGTGGGTGGGGGTATTCATGAGTGGCGTTTGTTTGAATGTTCATGTGGTATGCTTATAGTCGTGTGCGGATTACAGTGTAGATATGCAAACGTGTCAGGTGGGTGTGCCCAATGCTGTTGGCTCTGAACAGGACCAGGGTTTTGCATCAGACAGGAGTCCCTGCTGTGGGCTTCAGGTGGGGCCTACAGCCCTCCATGCACCCTCAGGAAGCAACGTCAGTCAGATCCTCCACCTCCGAGCTCAAGGCAGACACCTGGATTCTCAGGAACCACTGACTACCTGCGTGGCATCCATTGTTGAGGGTCCAAGCATCGGCTGGGGTTTGTTGGGCCAGTGCAGAAGTCAGCAAACCCTGACCCATCTGTCATCACAGGCACCGGCTCTGCAGTACCGCACGAGCGCAGGCTCACCAGCCAACCAGTCTCCCACCTCTCCAGTCTCCAATCAAGGCTTCTCCCCTGGAAGTTCCCCACAAGTAAGGGCCCCTCCCCTGGACCTGGGCCACTTCACTTATCCCATGTGCCCAGTGCTCTCCTGTGCTGTCACCCGCCTCATGCCATCTGTCCTCTCCATCAGCCTAGGGCTGTGCACCCACCAAACAGGCCACCTGGGCCCAGGGGGCAAGACACAGGACAGAGCACAGAATTTAGTCACATCATTGATAACCAGAGCCCCAGATCTACCCATCACGTAGTTCATAGGTTCTCAGGATAACAGAACAGCCTCATAGTGTGGCTCAGAGGACCCTGGAGCCTGAAGCTCCAAGGCCTGTGAAGGTCAAGGAGTAGCCTATTGGGGCACAGTTGAGGTGACCAGCCAGTCTGTGGTGCTGTTCTGCCTCTGCCTCTGACTGTGTTGCATCCAGTTGTCAACACAGCAGACTGTAGGTAACCCTACTTGACTGGTGTGGACTTTGTTTTATTTGGGTTGTGCTTTTGTAGCGCAGGCTATCCCCTCATTCACTGTGTAGCCTAAATAGCCTCAAACTCTGAATCCTCCTGCCTCAGCCTCCCCAGTGCATCATTCTGAGTCATCATTCCAGATTTCTGCTGGCCTGGTGCAGATGAGCACCAGATCCCAGATGCCCTTGCCAGGCCCAGGTCTGACCCCTCCCCTGCTGTTCCACACTTAACTCAGGGATGAAGGTGTGGCTCAGTCTCATCAGGCCCACATTCTGTGCAGAACTCCTGTTAGGGGCTCACCATCCTGGGGCCACCCCACCCTAAAATGTCACCATACAGAAAGACTTTTATTGACCTTTGTAATGCCCCAGACCCTGGAATCTGCCCTCAAGCCCAGTACAGGGGCCAGCAGGCAGGCAGGAGGCCAGGCAGCCTTGCTTTGGGGGAACAAAAATGAGGATGAACGGTCCCTGGTAGTGGCTATCCATCTGCTTCAACGCTGTCCATCCAGGACAGAGGAGGAGTCCACAGAGCACACTTCTCTGAAAAAAATATGGGATGGTCTTTGTCCCAAAAAGAAGCAAGTTGTTCTAGTCCAGGCAGGCTCTCATCCTGTCTCATTCAGCTTGTGTGTCTGGAGTTTGTCATTTGCTGATACGGAAAAGGTGTCTCTTGCTGGTGAGGACAGGACTTGTGGTATTTGACTCCAGTGGGCAAGACCATGTCTGGCTTCCTCTTGGGTTCCCGTAGACCGTGTCCATTGGGCCTTGGCCATGTGCCTCTCACACCACTCTGAGCATGGTGTCATGTCTGTCCAGCCAGGTCGGGTCCCCTGCTAGAATTCAAGCCCCACCCCTGAGCACCCTGAGTTGCTTTCTTCAAGGGCAGCTTCACAAGGCTCTGGGAAAGAGTCAGCCACCATCTCAGAAGTACCTCCAGCACCCCAAAATAGCCCTGTCCTCCCTTGGATGAAACCTTGAGCTGCTGGTGTGAGGCTGTGGGGTCTTGAGCAGCAAGGTCTTATATGAGAGAGATCTGTCTCTCGGACTAGGTGAAGCTCATACTAAGCTGGGGGCCATGGACATGTCTAGAGTCTCACTGGGCGTCTGCACTGCATACCACATTCAGGAGTGCCTGGGGTCTGGTGGCTTCTTTGAGCCACTCCATCACGGAGGAGAAAATGGGTCCCCGTCTTCAGTGACCTGTCGGGCCTGTTATAGCTGTAACTCTAGCTGGACTTTTAGGTGCTTTGGGTGTGACTCAGCCACATTTATGGCCATCCATGCCTTTTTTTGTCCATGTCCTATCCTGCTCCAGGCCGTGTCCTCAGTGTAGCCTATAGGAGCTCCCTTCTGGCTTTCCCTAGCTCCTAAAGAGCCTCTGCCCTGCCTGTTCCTGAAAGCCCAGCTAGCCTTGGCTAAAAGGCAAGTGTGATAGGAATGTGCCCCCACAGAGCTCAGGGTCTCACAGGCTGGCAGCCCCAGGCAGTGATTTGTCCCTGTCTGTGTCCTGTACCCTGTGCTGTGTAGAGTGTGTCCTTTGCACTGTCTCCATATCTCCCCAAGAACATATATACCACATCCCAATCACAACATGTGCACACTGCCTCCAGAGGTCCTGGGAGTGGGTATTGTAAGGAGCAATCACCCCAGCATTGGGGCGTGTCCATAAGAATGCCAAGATAAATCCCAGTGATCTCCACCCTCTGCTAGGCCCCAGGGTCTCAGCCCACTGGGCTGTGGGAAGCATGGACTTTATCAACCCCCCTTCCCGGAACAGAGGCCCCACCCCCACCCCTGGGTCTCAGGCTGCAACCAAGGAGGCCTCTTTTCTGTCCACAGCACACGTCCACCCTGGGCAGCGTGTTTGGGGACGCATTCTATGAGCAGCAGATGACAGCCAGGCAGGCCAATGCGCTGTCCCGCCAGGTGAGCGGGTGCCCAGGCCTGTGGCCCTACCACGACAGGGCCAGGCCTCACGGGAACCTATGCACCATCCTAGGCTTCCCGCCCTGCTCACTGTCCTGCTGTCAGGCTGTGGGAGCAAAGGCCCTGGCAATGGTGACTTGACCACAGCTTCCTTGACCTCTGTGCAGCTTGCAGAGTGGAGTTGGAGGGCACAGGGGAGGAAGGCCAGGCTTCTTGAGCACCAGGCAGTAGCATAGTGGGGTTCTGCTGGGAGAAGAAGCCTGGGAGGATTTAGTGGTGGCCTTGAGTTTCATTTGCCTGTCCATCATCCACCCATCACCTCACCAGCAGGGCCATGGGTGTGAGGAATGACCTCGGGGGTGGGAGGAACTGTCGCTGTCCCTTGTCCTCATGGCCTCTCTTGGTCCCTTCATAGCTGGAACAGTTCAACATGATGGAGAATGCCATCAGCTCCAGCAGCCTGTACAGCCCAGGCTCTACACTCAACTACTCCCAGGCTGCCATGATGGGCCTGAGTGGGAGCCATGGAGGCCTGCAGGACCCGCAGCAGCTCAGCTACACAGGCCACGGCGGAATCCCCAATATCATCCTCACGGGTGAGGGTTACTCCAGGAGGCCTGGAGCCTGGGGGGCATGAAGAGTCTCCTCACAGACCACCCTGCCAGACAGGTGACAGGGATGAGGCTGGGTTCCTACATAGGATAGGGGACAGAGGAGCCAAACGGTCCCTGCATTCCACTGCAAGCATGATGAGGGTTCTACCCGTCAGGGTCTCCTCATACTGGACTCTGTCCCCACCTCGAGCCATCCCCTCAACTGTCTCATCACATACATGAATTCTTGTCCTCGTCTTCAGCCAGGGAGAGTCGTCACCCACAGGGTGGGTGTCCAGAGCCTTCTGTTAGGACCAAACTGGTCACATTTGAACCCATTATTCTCTGTCACTTGCTGGCAGAGCCCCACACCCATGTCCAGGGTACAGGCCTTTCCATCCTGGGAGAAGTGGCCACACCTCACTCCACAGCCCAGAACCCAGCTTCTCCAGGGGCTGCCCTAAGCCTCCCTCACCCATGACCCTCTTCTAATCTCTGAAGAAAGGATTGCTTTCTGTATGATTTGGTCTCTTGAGGGTAGTGTCACCCCCCTGTGGGCACTGTGGCACACCCAGGGTAGAGGCTTTATCCTCAGGACCACTGTGGCTTGTAGGGTGGGCTCTGTGGTCCACCTCTAATGGACTCGATAGCCCAGAGGAATAGCTGTGAGTCTCCTCTCCAGCCTGGGAACCTGCCAGGCAAGAAGTACCCGTGAAGCCATGGCCCATACGTGTACTCAGTCCCTGAGTCAGGAGGGTGCGTCCTGCAGGTCACACTGCCATCTGCCACCAAGCATGTGGCTTTGTAGGTATCTGGTTTCAACCTGTACTCAGGGCTGAGACCAGCTCATGCTCTGTGCACACAGTGCCCTGACAGGCGAGGCGCCCTAGGTATTCTCATACCCCCTGCAGAGCTAGCCCTGTTGCGAACTGCCTCTTCCTCTCCGCCTTCCCACTACTACTCACCCTGGTGGGAGGTGTAATGGCCTGATGTCTGGTTCCCTGGAGTCAAGGCTGAGCCTTATCATTTGTCCCTGCCCCACAGTGACAGGAGAGTCACCCCCCAGCCTCTCTAAAGACCTGAGCAGCTCACTGGCTGGGGTCAGCGATGTCAGCTTTGACCCGGACCACCAGTTCCCACTGGATGAACTGAAGATTGACCCTCTGACCCTGGACGGACTTCATATGTTGAATGACCCTGACATGGTCCTCGCTGACCCAGCCACCGAGGACACCTTCCGAATGGACCGCCTGTGAGTGGCCATGCCTACCACCCGCCGCTGGTCAGTTCCTAACGGCACCGCTCCAAACCTGGGGATGGCAATGTTCCGTCCTCCTTTGCCAACGGCCAAGCTTGTGGTTCTGAGCTTGCAATGCTGCCCAGCACCCCCTGCCAGCCGCTACCCCGGTTGTTCACCTCCCATGATGCCTGGCTCAAGGCCACTGTGTACCAGGCTGGCTATCTGTCTGTTCATCTGTCCACCTGGAGCCAGGCTGATCACAGAGGCCATGAGTGCCTGGCCCCGTGGACTTCCCATGCTCGCTCCCTGGCCCCTCACTGGGGATGTGAGAACCCTCATCAGTGGTCCACTTCCAAGATACCCAAAGTGTCGCTCACTCCCAGATGTGCTGCACGAGGGGGGCTGGGGCATGAGCGTGGGAGCGTCCCAGAGGCTGAGGTGCACCGTCCACCCGACTGTTCTCAGCTGTCACTGCCTTCCTTCATCCCTGCCCCTCCTACCGTCATCCCCAGCCCTGGTCAGGTCACGCATGCCCACCGTGCCCAGGGCGAAGATGGCAGAGCAAAGGGACAGACCCGAGCAGAATAAACACTATTTGGATGGCTGCCTTCTATATTCCTGAGCGCTCTCAGAGCATGACAATCGAGCTGTGGCTGAATGTGGTGTGGACAGAGCCCATGGAAGCAGCCAGTGCCCCCTCCTCGACCCTCTCTCAAGCACCCTTTGCCAACTGCCAGGCAATATCCAGCATGGCAGTGCAGGACAGATGGAGGGCCACAGGCCACCTGCCCATTTCCATCCTTCCTTCCAGTCCCATCATCTGTCCCTACTGCTACTTAGGATGTGGGGCTCAGGCGGCAGCAACCCTGTGGGTTTGTCTTAGCGTTTAGTGGCTGATCCTCCAGCCTCTGGCCTGGAAGCATGTGTTAGCCCTAGTCCCACCTTGACCTTTTTTTAAGGCTAACTGGAATGGTAGCCTAAAGTGCTTGCAGGCCAGGCTGCCTGACTGTACACCCAGGCCCCACTCACCTGCATTCAGTCTCAACTCCAAAGACCTGGGCAGGCAAGGAGGAGGCTGGAGGTGAGGTCCTGGGGACTGAGCATGTCTGGAAGAACTGCAGAACAGACTGTAGGAACAGGCCTTGGCTTTCATTTGGGGCCTCTGGAGAACCTACTCCCTCTGAGCATCCCCAGGGTATCAGCCAGGCCTCAGCAGGTCTCTATGCTAAGATTCCCTGTGATGGGAGCTGTGGACCTGGACTCCATGTGATGGAGGCCATGGGCCTGGCTTTCCTTTTGTGGGCAACTTTTAGCCTGTAAGTCCTCCCTACCACCCTAAGTTATAGCTTGACGCTGTTCCATGCCTCTGTCTGCCGGGACTGCGCCTTTCACTTGGTTGTTTCTCAAGTGACGCTGTCCACTGCCCATGCTGGGGGCTTGGGAGCACAGGAACTGTGTGTGTCCTTCCCCCAAGCCACTGTGTGGCTGCCTGCATGAGAAAGCTGCTGCCCCTCCATCACTATGCCGTCCTGTGCCCCAATGGGGACCTGTCCAGTTCCCAGACCTTTCTGCCACATGGTGCGGGCTTGGAGGAGTAGTAAGGAATCAGCATCACTATTAGGAAGCATGCATGGGGTGCACCTCTCTCACCCCAGCACTGGAGAGGCAGAGGCAGGGGAATCAAGGCCTGCCTAGGCTATGTGAGACCCTGTCTGAAAACAAGACAGAGAGCACATATTCTTGGAGACTGAGTTATAGAAGCCTGAACAAATGGCCTTAGCAGAGAGCCTGATGCAAGTCTCAGGCCAGACCCCTGCTTCTGGCAACCAGTAGCTAGCCTTCCAAGTTCCCAGTGAGCCAGGGTGGGAGGGACATGGCCCCATGACCCTCCCAAGCTTGTGGCCTGGTTTTCAATGCCCTACAGCCAGGAGTGCATGTGTCCATTCATTGCCAAGTTCCGTGATGCAGTGATGGGCCCCTGCCACAGCATCCCAGGCGGTCTTCGTAACTCAGCCAGGGGCCAGGGGTTAGGTGCCTGCATGTTCTGGAAGGGCTCACTCTCCCCCACCCTGGGCCTAGACGCCCAGTGTCAAGGGGACTCCTGGGGGGTGGTCTAGATGCCAGCCATCTGCCTAGTATCCCCAGGACATCCCAAGATGACAACTCAAGGCTGTCGGGACCCCCAGCTGGTGACGAGCACATACTGACGACCCATTGAGCTGTGCTGGGAACAACCACCCTGGAGTTCCTGCAACGTGTACATAGACCCTCTGCCCACATCCATGCTTTCTTGGGACAGATATGTGAGCCAAGCCTGGCCTTTCTCCCCATAACGTCACCCATGTGCCACTGCCTTCAGCAGAGCCTCAGCCATGCAGCTGTCTGACCCATTTCCCCATCTGCCCAGATGTCTGTTTACCTTGCCCTTTCAAGCCCCTGGGGCAGTGATTATCTACCCAGAGGCCTCCAGACTGTGGATGCAGCTGGACCCAACCAGTCTGTGTCCTAAGAAATGGCTTGTTCCCCAACCACAGGCCCTGTCATGTTCCTTCTCTGTGAAGGAACACTGTCCAGTGGCAGTTCTAAAGTTGATTGTATATTTAGCCTAACCTTCTTACACAGGGGGTCCCCTAGCAAGACCCACATTCCAAAACAGCATGCAAGGCTGGCTGACACTATCACACGGGCCTGGCACACAGGACAAGAACAGGCAAAAGGTGTAGGGGTGACCGCCCTGTGCCTTGGTTCACTGCATCCTGAGTTTCCTAACATTTTCGTGCCCAGCAGAGCTGCAGGTGGAGAGGGCTGGTAGCACAGGCATGGGGTCAGGTCAGTAGTATAGTTGTGCCCTAGGCCTGGTGTTGTCCTTCAAGAGGTGTCCAGGTGAGGGCACCATGGTGCAGTCTACACTGTGTGGTCTCGACTGTTGGGGGGAGATGTGGTCTTTCACAGACCCCAAGGCCCGCCTCAAGTGTGGTGGTACTGGCCCTTTTTATACCCCCTTCTCCTGGGGTCCCCACTTCCTTCAGGGATCTCCTAGTGGGTGACTTGGGAACCGTGATCATTCCTGTCTCAGGCATGGTCCTCATCGTGGTACAGCTGCTCACCACCCCATTAGTCACAGCCACGTCTCCCAGTCAGGGCAGAAGATGGAGGAACCTGTACCCTCTCAAGCCTGGGTGCTGGAGTACTCCCAAGGGCAAGGGGTCCCCTGAACTTCAGTTTCCCTTCCGTGACTATCTCAACCTTGCTAGACTCAGGGGCCCAACCCTTTGGGCAGGATGGGGACAGTGGCAGGGCCCATGACAGTGCCAGCTTCACCTTCTGCAGTCCGCCTTCCCCAGGGCTGGAGATCCATCACATGGAGTAGGGGCTTACCCCATCTCTTGGGGCTTGGGGCTCTAGAATCCCTTGGTGACCAAGGCCCAGCCTAATCCACCCCAGCTGGCCAAACAGTTCTGATCACATAGGGGACATGAGGACAGAGCTGTGGCCTTAAATCCAGAGGCCAGTTTTGGTCCTCAACGGTGTCTAACCCTTAGTAGGAAACAGAATGATATGGGCTGGACAGCCCCTCTGATATATGCAAATGGCTGGCTCCACATCCCCCTCCTGGTGCCCAGGCTGGTTCTGCCCCCAGCATGCACACTCTGCGGCTGTGGATGTCTGTGGACTGTTCACATGGACACCACAGTTGGGAGTCAGGTTGCTCAGGGCACGCACGGCCGCCCGCCCCACCTTCTGGCGCAGACGCTTCTTTGTATTTTTGCGCCCTTTGTAATGAAATGTAATAAAACCCAATGTTTTCGTCTGGGCCTCTACCTCTTTTCCCCCCGCATCCTGGATCCCCTGTAATGTGTATATGCTCCACACAGGCATGAGACCCTTGCACACCTCCACTGAACCAATCAGTGACTGGGGTCCCTCAGACTTGGGGTACCCATCTAATCATACCCTGCAGTACTACAGGGGTGCCAGCATCTGTAGTAGGTTGCATGTGCCCGGCTATCTGAGTGACCAGAGCACAGCCCTGGAGAACCATTCACACAGCCCCCTGCAGCAGAGACCAGAGCCGGCCAGGCCCCCACACTCATACTTTATTAGCCTTTCCTCCCCAGGCCAGACACCCCTGCAGAGGATGCCAGGCCCGCAGACACCTGTATCTCAGGCTACCACAGTCCATCAGGCAGTGGTGCTTTCATTTGGGGTCCCTATGCCCTCCGCAGCCGGTGACTCTCGTAGTCCTCGGGAATCGTGTCTGCAGATTGAGAGGCAGCAAGTGAGAATGTATTCTGGAGCCTTCTGGGTCCAGCCCACTGGCCCCTAGCTCACCATTGCAACGGTAGAGCAGGTTAGCCCAGATGATGTTCTCTTGGGAGAAGCAGAAGACGCCCAGGCGACCACCACGCATGGCTGTGTCCAGCACCACGTTGCTGTCAGCCACTAGCTCAGGACCCTCATAGAACCGCACCCTGTGAGTGGAACCAGTGAAGTGGGATTCCCATCCTCTACCTCCCTTCATCGATGGTTCACACCTAAGAGCTCTGGTGTCACAGCAGGGACAGGAGCCTGCCTCAGTTTCCTCTGTGAGAATGTATGTCAGGTACCCTGTACATAGGTGCTGGGTCCTGTCAGTCCCAAGCAGGACCATCTGCCCAGAATCCCACACTGTACTGTAAATGGGACTCATTTTTCCTAGAGCTGCAACAAAGCAGGACATCACCAGTGCAGCTCACCACCAGCAAGGCAGTCCACACCTGATGTAGCCAACTTGAGGCCGGTGCTGCAGGAACCAGCGATAGGATGTCTTGTCTTTCCAGCCCACGTTCCGAGGGTCTTTCCACAGCAGCCTCACCTGGGACGCAGTGTCTCCTGTGTGCCACAGCGCATTCCGGAGCTGTTCTCCAGGACCTGTAGAGGACTTGACAGCCTGCCACAGGCCAGGGGAGGAGAGGAAGAGGCTCGCTCAGAGCCCCACCCAGTTAGAACAGATAGGGGTTATGGGTGGTGGAATGTACAGAAGGCCCTTTTGGGAGGATAGGCCAAGTCAGGGCTCCTGGGTGGGCCACTAAGGGTAGTAATGGAGGCTGAGGTCTTTGGACATGCAGCAAGCGCAGGAGCACCTTAGGGGATCTACCAGGTCTGGTGGCTTGTAGGCTGCGGGTGCCTGCTGGGATCTGAGAACCTGTGAACCTGTTGCAGGTGTCTGCAGGAGATGTGGTGGCCAGGGAAGTTTAGGGCTCTGACAGGTTTGGGAACTGAAAAGGGTAAGAGGTGGTCCTAAGGGAGTACTATTTTTTTTTTGAGGTAGGGTCTGTCTAATTTTTTGCTCCGTGTACGCATGTTTCTGCATGTATAAGGGTGTATGAACACGGAGGTGAAGGGTGGAAGCTGCTGTTAGGTTTATCCTCAGTAGTTCGCCACCCTGTTTTATAAGGCAGGGCCTAAAATGAAGCCTGAAGCTCCCCAATGTGGCTAGACTCGGTAGGCAGCTTGCACTGGGGCTCCTGTCTCTACCTTTCAAGGCTGGAATCACAGGTGGGCCACCATGCAGACCCAACATTTATGTGGGTTCTGGGGATCAAAGTGCCATTCCCCATGCTCGTGCCCCCATCAACCCAGGGGCTTCTCCCCAGCCCTTCAGGGTATTTATGTGCTTGTGGGAAGACTTGAGCTGTGGCAATGGCTGGGGGAGGGAGAGGGAGAATGAAGGTGGTGACAACTTTGAGGGCTATGGGACAGTGCTGGAAGGCTGTGAAGGCTTTGGGGGTGAGATGGTGAGAATATAGTGTGTGTAGGGCACAGAGACTAGAGGGCACAGCCCAGCCAGCACCTTGAGCTGGATCCCCGGTTCAGCCACCGCCCGGAAGGGGTTGGCCTGCCAGTAGGTCTGCTCCATCTGTTTCCACATGACCACGTAGAAACTTGAGCTGTCTTGGTAGCCGAAGATGAAGCCAGCATAGTCATCATCAGTGGCAGTGTTCACGTGGAATGTGCCCTCAAAGTCTACACCATTGAAGGCCGTGTAACCTGTAGAAGGGGAAGAGAGGAATGGGGCCTCCCAAACCATGCTGACTCTGGACATGCAGAGCAGACCCGAACCTCCAGAGACTGTTTGCTACCAACCCCACCCCCCAAATGCAGCCACACACCAACAGACCATTGGCCACATCCTAAAGCACTTCCAAATCCCTGTCTCTCAAGAGCCATCTCCCTCACAAGGCTATGCCCCAGCCCCACCCTTCCCAGGTCCCAGACCAACCAACCCCTGCCCTCCATGACCACACCCACACCTATGGTCACTCCAGCAACCTGCCATTTGTCCTCATCTCTCAGTCTCCCCTCTTCTCCACCCTTCCCAAGACTAAGCTGACAGGTCCTGCTCTGTGGCCACGCCCCACAGCCCCGCCTCACCCACAGCTAGGCCAGGGTCGCTGTTCATGGTCTGCACGATCTCCATTCCCTGGGGAGGTCCAAAGAACAAGGGAGGGTCTCAGGCCAGCGCTGAGGGGCAGCTGGGCTCCCTCCGACCACCATCTCAGCCCTGGCCGCACCTGATTGAGCACCACCCAGTTGGGATCGATCTGCGCGTCACCCTCAGGGTCCAATACGACTGTCTGGAAGGCCCTGAAGTCGGTGAGGGTAACCTCGGCATTCTCGGGGCACACATCAATCTTGTCCACCACCTTGTCAGCGTCCAAGTCGCCCTGACACGCATCACCCACGCCATCCCCTGAAAGGAGGTGGGACACAAGCTGCAGCTGTGGGCTCAGCTTGGGCCCCTCACAATAGCCTCTGCCAGCTGCTGGCCACGCCCACAGCTGCTACTGACCAGACCACACACCAACTAATAACCATGCCCTCACTGCCCTTACTGTCATTGTCCTCCTGGCCCGAGTTGGGTACCAGGCGGCAGTTATCTAGGTTGTCGGGGACTCCATCATTGTCATCGTCATCGTCACAGGCATCGCCCTTGCCATCGTGGTCCGAGTCCTGCTGGGCACTGTTGGGCACTGTGGGGCAGTTGTCCCGGGAGTCCTGGTGTCCATCACCATCCCTAGAGTGGAGAGGGGGGACGATGGGACTCTGGAAGGGGGTTGTCAAGCACCACTCAGCTGCCACCTTCTCAAGGGCTCCTTACTGGTCTTGGTCGCTGTCACAGGCATCACCCACAAAGTCGTGATCCACATCCCTCTGCAATGGGGTCAGGGGTCACAGTCAGGGCTGAGGACTCAGAAGCTGTCCTCACCCCCAAGTCCACAGCCAGGTCCTCCCCCCTCAAGAATCCCCACCCCCTAGGTTGCCCTTGGCAGGATCCATCGTGTCTGTTGTGCTCCTGACAACCTAAGGCACACATAGGAAGTGGCCCACCTGGTCCGGGTTGTCTTTCTGGGGACAGTTGTCACAGGCATCCCCAACACCATCACCATCCCTGTCGCTCTGGTCAGAGTTTGGCACCTTGGGACAGTTGTCAGCTGCATTTCTTATTCCTGAGATAAGCCAGGTGAATAAGGAAGAATCAGAAGAAAGGACCAGGCTAGGATGGGGTTAGAACAACACAGACAAGTCCTGGGACAGCATGGTAGCCAAGGGGCTGGCCTAAGCTGGATTCCTGGGACCTACATGGTGAGAAAGAACCCACTCCTACGGTGCAGGTTGCCCTCTGACCTCCAGTGTGTGCTCTGGCACTCATGCACGTGCATGCATGCACATAGGTGCACGTACACAGAATAGATAAATTAAGACGTAATAAAAATGCCGTTTGTTTTGGCACTCTAGAGGCAGAGGCAGGCACATCTCGGTGAGTTCTAGGCCAGCCTGGTCTATGTAATGAGTTCTAGGACAGCCAGGGCTACATGGTAAGACCCTGTTTCAAGGCCATCCCCTGCTATGCATTAGGTTGAAGCCAGCCCAGGATACTAAACGGACACAGGGAGGAGCCTTCCAGGACGCATATGGCAGCCCTGGGCCCTCTTCTCCTCCAGCCCTGGCTGCATGTTTCCCTCAGCTTGTCACCATTCATCTTCCAAGCCTTCAAGCACCCCCTCTAGGAGATGGGTCTCATCCTCCACTCCCCAGCCATGCTCACGGTCGCCATCAATGTCGTCATCACAGGCATCGCCCTGGCCATCCCGATCTGTATCTTTCTGGTCATCATTCTTCTGGGACCGGCAGTTGTCACAGGCATCTCCCCACTTATCGCTGTCTGAGTTGCGCTGGTCTGGGTTTCGAACCAGCGGGCAGTTGTCCTAGATGGAAAATAGGACACGTGAACCCAGGTCAGGGTGAAGGACAGAGATTGCTTCCTGATCGGCTGCCAGAGGGATAGGAACTCTGACTAAAGGCTGACAGCTTTAGTTCAGTTTCCCCGGAGCCTGCAGTGTAAGGAGAAAACCGACTCCTGCAAGTAGCCTTTTGATACACACACATGGTGGGAACACACACACACACACACACACACACACACACACACACACCACATCAATCAATCAATCAATCAATAAAAACACAAAAACTTCCCAGAGCTGCCGGTCTCCAAGAGGTCCGCCCCTCCGCCTGAAGCTGGATAACCAGCGGGACCTTGGGGTCAAGCCCCACCCACGGGCCCTCCCACCGCCTTACCTGCTCGTTGGGGATCCCATCCCCGTCCGCGTCCGGGTCGCAGGCGTCTCCGATGCCGTCGCGGTCCACATCCTCCTGCCCCGAGTTGGGCACCGTCACGC